AGTTGGAAATTAACCTGCTTATAATAATCATAATGTCCTCCTTGATGTACTGAATTCTCCCAAAAGCTTTAAATGCATGTTCACAGCTGCTAGCCACCAAGCAAATGATTTCCTGAAGATGAGAACACCAGAAAAGGAAGGAAGAGAATGACTGACTGAAAAATTGTGAGCCTGCAGTCATGACCTGTGAATACCACACCTAGGGTACAAAAGCTGTGCGGACTACAGAGCAGTAGCTGAGAGGGACACGGATCCCTTAAATTTAGATCACACCTCTCAGGCTGAGAGTCTGATCAAAGGGGTGGGAGAGGGATTTTTTAAGGAGACAATAGATCCCAAGGGAGTCACTTGTACTAGGTCCCCAGTCAGCAAACGAAGACTTCGTACCTAACCTAATTGCAGTTGTAGCCTCTCCCAAGAATGTAATCTTTAACCAGTTAATTTGCATTACCTGGTTATTAATAGTGAGGTAGTCAGTCTGATAGACCCCTTCTGTCTTCCATAGGTAGATGAACTTGCCTGAAATAATCCAACCTTTGCTAGAAACTTCCTTTTTGAATAGTTGAATAAAGCCAACTAGATCTTTAAACTTAGGTGATTTTTTTTTTTTAACACTGGCATCTCTGACTTCTCCAGGGCTCCTCTTCACCCACAGGCACTCACAGGTCATCTGATATATGGGCAAACCTGGAAATGAGGGAGATCATACCCAAGGGGGCAAGCTTGATCAATGGGCACAGGAGCCAATAGACAACACACTCTACTTCTACATGTAAGTCAGAAACCTCAGTCACCCACAGCAGTGACCAGCTTAGGCACACAGCTATGTCTTTCCATCTTGCCCCTATCAGTCTCCCAGTGCCAGCCCAACTCCTGCTCATTGGAGCCACTTCCCAGAGTGGTTGCCTGTACTAGGCCTTCACGTCAGGAAGAGCTCAGGCTCAGGAGGTCATGCTATTTATTTGTGGGTCTTTTAGATTCCATCTCTCAATATAACATACAGTTATCCTATATAATAAAAGCCTAATGTGCAAATTGTCCCCTTGGGCGGTTGGTCGTTCACTTGCTATGACATGCGCTGACCACCAGGGGGTGGTGCGGAACATGGTGGGCATCAGCGACTCGCCCTGCTGGGTGCTGGCAGCGGTGGCAGTGAAGGTGCTGCTGGCTCTGATGTGCCTGATAACAGCGGGACTGGCAGGATGGCGGAGCAGGTGAGTGGGAGGTGCCAGGCCAAGGTGGGTGTGAGCAGGGACCCGATTGCCCAGCAGATGGCGGCCAGCGGAGTTGGGTGGGCCCGCTGCCTGGCTCCCAGGTGCTGAGGGAGCTGGGCAGGGGGCCCAGCCCCCATCGATTGCCCCACAGGTGGGATGGTGGAGCAGATGAGGGGACAGCACCAGGCCACGGTGGGGTGCCAAGCAGGGCTACAGGGCTACAAGTCTGGGAGCATGAGCTGGGGCTGCAAGCCTGGGGAGCACACTGGGGCCCGATCCCTGTAGGTCACCCCAAGGGACCCCAACCATGCACAAATTCATGCACTGGGCCTCTAGTATATATATAAGTATGATATATTTAAAGTTATAAAGAACGTCTCCTTTTCTTCATAGCTCCTTCAAGTTAAGAAGCTTCAATCATTAGATTACCTCAGTTTCTCTTAGAGCAGTGGTTCTCAACCTGTGGGTCGCGACCCCTTTGGGGGTTGAACGACCCTTTCACAGAGGTTGCCTAAGACCATTGGAAAACACATATATAATTACATATTGTTTTTGTGATTAATCACTATGCTTTAATTATGTTCAATTTGTAACAATGAAAATACATCCTATATATCAGATATTTACATTGCGATTCATAACAGTAGCAAAATTACAGTTATGAAATAGCAACAAAAATAATTTTATGGTTGGGGGTCACCACAACATGAGGAACTGTATTAAAGGGTTGTGACATTAGGAAGGTTGAGAACCACTGTCTTAGAGCAACATCTAAGAGATCCTCCATAGCTGGTAGAGAAAAGATCTTAAATTTTTTCAAGTTGGAAATTGTCATTTAAAGGGTTGCAGTGAACTTCTGTATTTTAGGATGCAGGCTGTTCTTTAATGCCAGAAACAACATTTTGATGAATCTTTTAGTAATGTTAATGCACCTACCACTCCCTCCATTATGGTATGATGCTAAGTAAAGGAATGAACAAACAAAACAACCCAAACAAATTGATAGATGCAGACAACAGATTGGTGGTTACAAGAGGGGAAGGGGTCGGGGAGGAGAACAAAATGGGTAAGGGGGTCAACTGTATGGTGACAGATGGAAACTGGACCTTTGGTGGTGACCATGCTATAGTGTATATAGATGTTGAATTATAATGTACCTCTGAAACTTATGTAGTGTTATAAACCAATGTTACCTCAATTAAAAAAAGAGTCTTCGCCATTCTGTGGATGGGGGGAAAGTGGGTATATACAAAGTAACAGTGGACATTAAATGATAGTAAATTTTATTAAGAAATGTCATTATAGAATATCTGTAGATGGGGGTCCTTTAAATTAGTCTCTCTACTTATGTATGTTTTTGATATTTTTCTTAATATAAATTTTTATAAGTGCAAAACTTTTAAAAGAAATGATAAAAATTTATTGAAGATATTAAGAAGGACTAAAGGGAGAGATATGCCCTGTTTATAGGTCGAATGACTCAATAGTGTAAAAATCAATGCCAGTTCTCCTCCAGTTCAGCTCCAGTAGAACTGGCCCCAGTGATTTCTGCAAGTTTTGCTAGCATTCCAGTGGGGACTTCCTGTCCCAGGCGGCAGTTCTGCTACCCAGCCTCCTCCTCCTCACTGGGCACAGCTTCTCAGGGCAACCAGAGAAGCTCACCATCCAGGTGGCTGCAACCACACTCTCCCAGTGAGGCCTCCTTCCCAGTTGGCTTGTTCCTTAGATGTTCTGCTTCAGCCCTTGGGTGTTCTTTTGTGTTCTCTTTTATATCCTTTTAGTTGCAAATTCCTTATAAGTAGTTAATAATTTTATATTGTGTAGTCCCTGTTTACATTGCTATGTGGTTTGTGTCTCCTAAGTGGGTCTGATTGATACACTAATAAAAGTAAACTTGAACTTGTACATATGTCATATGTGTGACCAGCTATTGTGTGTGTGTGTGTGTGTGTGTGTATATGTGTGTGTGTGTGTGTGTGAGAGAGAGAGAGAGAGAGAGAGAGAGAGAGAGAGAGAGACTTGCACATGTGTGGCAAGTACAAATACAACAATATTCATAGCAATGTTGTTTAGCACAATCTCAAACAGAGCAAATCCAACAGGAGATAGCTTGGCTGTGCGATGGGAGAGAAAGAGAAAAGTCAAAGGTATCTCCAAGGTTTTTCACGTGAACAACTGGAAGATCAGAGTTGCCATCTCTTGAGATAGGCAAGCCTGGCAGTTGAAGACAGTATCAGAAACTGGTTTTAGACGTGTTATGAGGCATCCAAATGGAGGTGTCCAGCAGGCAGTTGGATATGCAAGTCTGGAGGACTAGCCTGGGTTGTGCATTTGGGGGAGTCCTCAGCATACAGAGTCCCCACAGTCAAGAGGTTGGGTAATATCACAGACAAGTGTGACATGGGGGCACTTCTTGGATGACTGCTGTAGTCTCCCCCCCCTGCCTCAGACGTCACGCCCACCCTCTATCTCCGCGGCCGAAGGTCACCTTTCAGCATCCAGTGACCTTGTGAAAGCAGAATTCAGATGCTGGGACTTCACGGTCACGGTCTCAGCCTCTCCAATGGCTTCCTGCTGCTTCTGGACGGAAGCCCCACTCCTCCGCAGAGGCCCTGGCTGCTGCTCACCCCCCCACACTTCTCTCCTGTGCTCTGCAGACCGCCCGGACTCATGGGCCTCTCCCATTTCCCTGCATCTGCGCTAGCTGCCCAGCCTGCGGGAGGGGCACCCTCATCTCTCCCGGTTCCTTGTTTTCATTCAGATTTCAGCTCCAAGGGCCCCTCTACCGCATTCCTTCCCGAACACTCTCTCCAGGGCAGTGGTCGGCAAACCGAGGCTCACGAGCCACATGCGGCTCTTTGGCCCCTTGAGTGTGGCTCTTCCACAAAATACCACGTGCGGTGCGCATGTACAGTGCTATTGAAACTTTGTGGCACATGCGCAGAAGTCAGTTTTTGGAAAGGAGATAGACAAAACAAGTATACAAGACGAGTGTGGATGGGAGAGTTGGAAGGGGTCGACCTCAGCGGATGTACCTCAATCAGATTGAGGAGTTTTTAGCAAAGGCCAGCTTAGGAGTACCCTAATTAAGTTAATAACAATGTACCTACCTATATAGTTTTAGTTTAAAAAAATTGGCTCTCAAAAGAAATTTCAATCGTTGTACTGTTGACATTTGGCTCTGTTGACCAATGAGTTTGCTGACCACTGCTCTAGGGTATTTGATCACGAGTCACCCTAACAGGACACTCAGTAGCACCTTTTTATGGCACTGATATCTGCCAGCATGTTAGCTCTCTGCAGATCATCTGTCTCCCCTTGGAGGCGCTCAGCTCCCCCAGGCAGTGGCCCAGGCTTGCTCTCCATTGTGTGTCCCCAAGGCCATGGACTGCTAAGCCACCTGGGAGGCAGTCACGCATATTTGCTGAATAAACGTCTTACAGGATATTGCATTCTTTTTAGCTTCCAAATCAGGGGCAGAACCTTGAGCTGCCATTTTCATTTCATCCACGCTTTATCTTTCTTCACATCCTTTCACTCCTTCACCAGCTCCCCCATGGTCACAAACACCCAACAGTGCACTAAAGATATTAGAAGGAATACTTTATCACAGCCTGTGAATCGGAGGATTGTGTAAAGAAGTTACTCTAATCTAAAGGTCCGCGCACAGCGGAACTCACCCGGTGACTCCAGAAGGTGCCTGACCCGCCTCCCCAGCAGCTGCGCCCCAGGAGGCCCAGCGGGTTGGGTCTGCGAGGCCTGGGAGCCCCGAGCTGTGGTGCCGTCATGGGGGAGGCCCTGGAGCACGTCTTCATTCCCATAGGGCTGCTGGTGTGCCTGGTCTGCCTGGTAAAGTGGGCGAGATTCTCCAGATGTATTTTCCTGCACTTCTGGAAAGTTCTGCCAAGGTCTTTCCTGAAGTCAATGGGCCAGTGGGCAGGTAAAGAAAGCGCTCCAGTCTTGGGTTTTGTTGTTCCTGCTTATTATTGTTTGTGTCTCAGAAGGCATTCTGCATCTTTTTCCTTTGAGCAAAGATGGACTTCCTTTGGGTGATTTTAAGTTGGGTGGGGACGGGGGGTGTCTAGAAAGCATGAGTAGCATTAGAATTGTTGGGCAAACAAGAGGGGGTCTGGGAGATTAGCTGGAGTGGACTGTGCCCGCCACCCATGTGCTTGTCCGCGGTCCCCACCAGCTGCACTGTCTTCCTTAGGGAGTTTCTGATGATTCAGATATAAATGCTGCAGATGCTCCGCATCCTCCTCTCCCGATTTCCAGAAGCCCCGAGAGCCTCGGTTTTGTTACAGGGTGTTTCAAAAGTCTGAAATCCAAATAATTTTAATTCACTTTATTGAAAAAAATTTTTCTCCGAGCCCTTTTGGGAAGCGAGGGTATTACAAAATGCAGGCAACAAAGATCTCTGTGGACACCTTTTGAAGATAGAATCTGGGTCTGGTGTGTCCCCGGCAGGTTAACTGCTGCCTCCTAATGGGACTTAGTCCTGGGACTGCTGGAATCTAGCCCCTGTCTGGGTGTAAGGTAGAGAAAGAGCAGGAGGCTGTGGTTTCACGTTAGATTTCCAAGTTGGGCACCAAGACATCCAATGGCTTAGAAAAAGTATTTAAGCAGCTTTAGAAATACCATGCCAAGCTAAATAGGAGAAATCATAAGCAGCTTCATAGGGCTGCCAGATAAACACAGGATTCTCAGTTAAATTTGAATTTCAGATAAACAAGGAGTAATTTTTTAGTGTATGACACCCCAAATGCTGTGTGGGACATATTTATACTGAAAACTATCCGTTGTTTACCTGAAAATCAAATGTAACTGGGCATCTCGCCTCCTTATTTGCTAAAGTGCAATCTTACAACTTTAGCAATGGAAACAGAAAAATTACGATATGAAAATTGCTAGGAGTGGAAAATGGGTTTTGAACTGGGGCATGTTCCATTTGCAGTCCATGTGAATGCTCCCTCGCTTGGGGGCTGCACGCTGGGTCCATGAACTTGCTGGGGGCTCGACCTTGAGGGTCTGGACCCACATGCTCTGCTCTTACAGATGCAAATGCCCATGCCTGAGGGCGCTGTGAACTCTACAAGTGCTGCCCATCAGTGCTGGGCAAAGCCCTCTAAGAACACTCGTTGCAAAAAAAGTTCACATGGGGCTATAGACTTAGCATTTGTCACTCAAAAAACATAATCTTAACCTGTCTTCTGAATCAGTCTTGAATAGTGTTATAATTAGCAGGAGTAAAATGTCCATGGGCATAGGCAGATATTGGGAGATAATACAGGTCAAATGGAGTGTGGGGCGGGGGTGGGGTGCAGACAAGAAGAAGATCCAATTACTAGAGACTGAAATGTCAACTCCTCAGGGCCCTGTTGTTGGTTGGCTAATCATGTCAATGGTATATCTTAATAGACTTGTGGCCGCAAAGTCAGCCAGCCTGTGTTCAAATCCATCATCATCACTGAGCAGTACGACCTTGACCAAATTGAGAATGTCCTCTCTCTTGTCTTCTGATCTAGGAATTAAGAATAATGATGGTCCCTACTTTAGGGCTTGTTTTGAATATTGAGATGTTGCATCTATAACACTTGAAGCAGTGCCTGGCAGAAAGGAAGCTCTGGATAGATGCCAGTCATTTATTGATGCCATTATCTTAACTATCTGAGCAGTACAACCTTGACCAAATTAAGAATGTCCTCTCTCTTGTCTTCTGATCTAGGAATTAAGAATAATGATGGTCCCTACTTTAGGGCTTGGTTTGAATATTGAGATGTTGCATCTATAACACTTGAAGCAGTGCCTGGCAGAAAGGAAGCTCTGGATAGATGCCAGCCATTTATTGATGCCATTATCTTAACTATAGTACCGGCCTCATCCTGGGTGATTTCTGATACCCCCATAAGAGAGGGGAAGTGGTGAAGATAACCCTGAGCATGGTACTTCTAGTAAGAGGGACAGGTAACACCCTGGATTCGCTCAGAGGTACCTAATTAAACAGATGACACCATTAGCAGCTACTAAGCCCGGTGCCCCTGCCAGGGTGCTGCTGGGAGCATGCACAGCTTGGCCTGCTCTCACCTACGAGCGTTGGGTACAGAAGGATGAGAAGGCCCACCTGATTGTTCTATGTGAATCAACAGGCCACTGAGCACTGCCTCTTCAGGGCCCTCGTTTTATTTCAGCCTCTTCTTGCATTTCTGTGTTTTCCTCTTTGTTAAGCTCCCTGCCTGCCATGGGCATTGATGGCCGCTGGTCTGTGGGGGCGGAGAAAGGAAAGGGAGAGAACTGGACTTTTAGGAGGAACCTTGAAATGTCCCACAGTGACAGCTGGCTGTGTGGGTAGAGAGATAGCAGGTGCACTGCTTGCCCTTGATGCGTTAAAGGCTTGGAAATGTCTAAACCCTTATGGGGTCTGAAGGAACTGTGCCCTGCCTGGGGCCCTTTCTTTCATTTTGGAGTGTGTTTTCATGGCCTCACCAGCCCCTCAAAAAGAATAAAAAAAGTTTCATTGTGAACGTTTAGTGAGGGAAGTTGAGTGCTGCTTTGGAATATTTAAAAAAATATATATTTTTATTGATTTCAGAGAGGGAGAGAGAGAGATAGAAACATCAATGATGAGAGAATCATTGACTGGCTGCCTCCTGCAGCCCACAGCCAGGGCATGTGTCCTTGACTGGAATCGAACCCGGGACCCCTCAGTCCACAGGGCGACACACTATCCACTGAGCAAACCGGCGGGGCTGCTTTGGAATATTAAGTGTCCTAGGGAGGTGGCCTGCAAGAAAACATGGCCAGCTAGATAGAGGACTTTAAAGGTTAATTCTTTCCTTTGAAACCATTTCTGCTTTTTGCAGTGATCACTGGCGCAGGAGATGGGATTGGGAAAGCTTATTCATTTGAGGTGAGTTGTTTCTTGGCCTTCTCTGCCCCTTGTATTGAGCACATTATAAAGCAACAGACATTCATTATGAAGGGACATATTTTCTGTAAAAAAGGAAATTTGAAAGTCATAATGTCACTCCCTGGATACCTTTAAAAAATGCAATGATATTCAAAGGTAGCAGTATCTCCCCTTAGGAGTTGTTTTACAAATATAGGGTCATTGTTATTTTCTAGTGTAATTGTACCACAAGCATCATATACTTAAGCACAATTTCAAAAAAGTATAAACTACTTTTCTTTTATGTATCCTTTACATTATGGTTAGGGCATATATTGATTTAAAACATCATTTGTGTAGACACAACATATCTATGACTTTAATTCCATGAAGATCAAGGGGCATTACAACTATTATATAAAGAGAGGGTCTGATAGGGCCGAGTCGCTGCAACATTAGTGTCTTTCAGTATTTCTCTCCAGGCTTCTTGTTGCTCTGCAGATAGATCCATAGATTGATTGATCGATAGATAGATACCTAGGGAATAGATGGGTACCTTTAAAAATACGTTTATAGCATGTGTAGTCTTACATGCTATTATTACTGTATTATTACAAATTCCATTAATAAAGTATTGTTTCCTGGAATTCCTATGTATTTTATTTCTTACTGGTGTCATTATACTGAACAATGTGAAATACAAAGGAAGAAATACTAGTAGAATCTTAGGAATTATGAGGACGACTGTTAAAAAAAAATCAGTGACACCTTAAAAATAGAATCAAATGCGTTTGCGTTGTGAAAACTACATCCAACAGCAGTGCAGCACCCAAGGGTTTTCTTGTCCCCGAGGCCTTCATCATGACAGATGCCAAACCACCTGTGTGAGAGGACAGTGCGAGGTGCATGGGAGGCACTTGACAGAAACTGTTGGGGCTTGAACAAACCTAAACTATTCCAGTTAGAAAAGCTCCCGGTGCTGGTCTTTCGGGCCGGCCCCGCCCATCCTGTACCCTCTGCCCATAAGTTCTTGGGCACAGACATTGCTCCAGCTCTTTGCTCTTATCCTAGCTGGTGAGTAACAACTTTCTGACGGCCAGCGGTGCTCAAGGCTCAGCGGGTGAGTGTTGAGGTTGGGGAGACTGTTCAGCAACCACTTTCCAAAGTCTTGTGTCTTCCATTCCCCAAAGAGAAGGACAATTTTTCTCGCTGTTTGCATTCAACCTGTATCACCTTTTATATAACCATTTCCACCTTAGACCAGGTTTCTGGTCTGACTCCTCATCCAAAACATCCACGGCTCCCCTCTCAGTTCTCGGCATTGCCCAGAAACGTGGGTCCTTCATGATTTTCCAGATTCTTTCCTCAGATTCATGCTGACTTGGCCTGCTCGTGGTCCCTTTGATGCTTGAGACTCAGATACTTTTCTTGCTGTAGAGGGGACCCGTAGGGACGCTCCCGTTAGCATTCGTTTCTCTACTGTTTCCGAAAGCCGTGGCCTGGGCGCCGGACGCTGAGGGTCCAGCCCTCCCTCTGGCTCTCACTGTCTGGAGACTGGACAGCGACACATTCCTGGGCTTCTAGGCTGCACTAGCCAAGACACACCTCCCAAGAGCCTCCAGCTCTAAGTTCTGCTTCTGTCCTAGACGGATTCTTGCTTTGCTCTTCTCCTGGTGACACCTCTTCCTGTGTGCTCTGTTGTCCTTTGCTAAGGCTGGGAGACAGTTTTCAGGACTTCCTCCATCCCTTCATGCTGGCTTTTCTCCTTCCAGTGAGCCTGCCCTTGCTCCCTGGTAGGTGCTGCTCCACGGAGAGCAGTGGGGAGACAGGGTGCTGTGGACGGCGATGGCTGGGAGCCCCACTGGGAAAGGGTTAGCCATCTCGTGTCACACCCTGCCTTCCACACTCCCTGCAGAATCTCCACATCCATAAGCTGGAGGCGATGGCAATCCCACTGGGCTTTTTAAAGGTTAAATGGGATGAGGAGGGGAGGTGCTTTGCACAGAGTAAGCCCCTCAAGGGCAGCCACTGCTATTTTGGGTGTTTAAACTGTTTTCTTTACCACAAATTCCTCTTTATTTTTTTAAGGAGGAGGAAATGTACTGTACTTACCATATTTTTACTTTTTCCATTCTTTCTTCCTCCCTGATGCTCCAAGAGTCTTTCTATATATAGAGAGAGAATTTGTTGATTTGTGGATTTGTTGATCATAGCCATTCTGACAGGTGTGAGACGGTACCTCATTGTTGTTTTGATTTGCATCTCTCGGATGATTAGTGACTTTGAGCAAGTTTTCATATGCTCATTAGTGACTTTGAGCATGTTTCCCTGGAATTTCTATGTATTTTATTTCTTACTGGTATCATTATACTGAACAATGTGAAATACAAAGGAAGAAATACTAGTAGAATCTTAGGAATTATGAGGACGACTGTTAAAAAATCAGTGATGCCTTAAAAATAGAATCAAATGTGTTTGCGTTGTGAAAACTACATCCAACAATAGTGCAGTGATGAAAGTCCCTGCTCCCTCCTTGGCTCCTCTGATGCCGGCCTGGCTCGGGGGTGGCCACTGTTACTGCAGCCATACTGCTCTGTGGGGCGCTGACAGATGCTGAGGTTTGACTGTGGTGACAGAGAGACCCAGTGACAATCCTGGTTTTCCTGATGAGCAGGTGGCTGTGCTCAGGTTCCTTCTGTCTTGTCTTGTGGGCCTTTGCTCTGGTCTTCAAAGCTGGAGCGGGGCCATGAGCATGCCTGTGTCCTGAGAGCCCGCAGACAGAACTCAATCCTGTGGCCAAGCCGGGCAAGAAAGGCCAGGCGTCACTCGCCACCTGCCCGTAAGGACATGGCAATAAAAATGTATTTAAAAAATGAAATAGAACATCACTCTCATCCTTGAGACATTCCATAGTCACCACATGCCTTTGTGTCCCTCCCTCACCCCCACTCATGTAAGCACAGATCATGATCATTGTGTTAAAATGTCCTTACTTAGAGCGTTCTATTACATATGCACATGACCCTAACAATGTGTTGGTTGCACCACTTGTTTTGATTTCCATGTAAACTGATTCAGATGTCTTCTGCAACCTGCTTTTGATGGATCAATAGCATGCCTTTGAAATTCATCCAGGCTGATGTGTATAGAATACGGTTCATTCATTTTCATAATTATGTAGTATTCCATTATGTAAATAAGTCCCGGTTTAGCTACCCTTACCTCTGTTGATGAACTTTTCTGCCGTCTCTAATTTGCTGCCACGAATGCATTGTCTGCGTCTCCTAAGGGCTCCTTGAGAACGTGCCCAGGAGCAGAATTGCGGGCTCAGAACTTAGGCAGAGGCAACACTGCTCGGCAACGTTGCCTCCAGCCAGTTTCCAAAGTTTCGGTGTTGAGATGATAGCAGCCTCATGAACCGAATAGGGAAATGTTATCTTTTTTATCCTTTTGGAATTATTGGTTTTTTTTTATTTGAATGTTTGATAGAGTTTATCTGTAAAACCACCTGGCCGGAGTTTTCTTTGTGGGACAATTTAAAAACTATTTACCTATATCATTATCAGCATCACTTCTTATTTATATGAATATATCATATTGATTATTGCTATTATTTTTAGTGACTATATGACTATTGGGTTTTTAATTTTTCTTGAATAAGTCTTGGACTTATATTTTTCAAGAAATGCATTTATGACACCTAAGGTTTCAAATGTGTTGGCACATACTTTTTTTTTGAAAACATGCTCTTATCATGTTTAGAAAACTTTAGCACGAAACACATTTGTCAACGGTTACCATCTAGTTCACAGAATCACTGGGAAGGGGCAGCAGCTATATCTAAAATGAGCAGAAATACCGAGAGGCTGGATGGTGGGGGACACAGCGGAGTCGCCCCTCCCAGGAAGTTCACATTCCTCCTCCATTTTCTCTCTTCTTTTGGGAACTCTAATTATTCAGATGTCGGTTAATATTATTTCTGGAACTTCTATTATTCATCCCCTATTAGCTTCCCCCCCCCTCATAATTTCTATTTCTTTGGCTTTTTGCTTTCCTGTCTACAAAAGGATTTCATTAATTTTATTCTTCAGCTTTTCTACTAAATTTTTCATTTTTTGTTCTATTTATTTTTAAGTTTCACATTTCTAATACAATTAAAAATGAAAACCTTTCAAAGAAGTTAAAAATTGTTTGCCAATTCTGATGGTGTGTTTCTCAGCCCTCCATGCAGGCCTATGTGACCCTGTTTTATGGGTCATCCAGGGTTAGAACTGCTGTATCTTCCTGATGAACGGACTAATCTATATTTCTAGTAATACTAATTTGCTTTAATGCCTGCTGTGATTGATATTGATAAAGCTGTGCCTTTTTCCTTTTGGTTGGTGTTCCATAGATATATGCAATGTTTTTTTCTCATTTTAGTTTCAGCCTTATGTTTTGGGTGTGTTTCTGGAAGGTAGCATGCAGCCCCGTTTTAATTTACTCCTCCTGGGTGTTCTCGTCTTTAATGGAGCGTAGCGGTGCGGGCACTTCTGAAATCCTGCAGGTATTGCGATTACAGTGTAATCATTATGTTCATTTAGCCAAGTAACTCAAAGGATCGCTAATATTTTAAAAGCACAAGGATACCTGTGGAAACTTGGACTTTTATTTAACGTAGCTAGGAAGCATACAGCAGGAAGACAGAGGAGCTCCTTGGAGAGCATTTGATAAGCGGGGCTGTATGTAGTCAGTCGGGAAAGGAACGTGAAATCATATGGGCAAGATAGGTACCAGCCCGGCTCCCTTTCCATGGGGCAGTGATTGCGCCACCCCTGGGTCAGCCTCTCGGCCAGGCTCCGAGCCCGCAGGCCCTCTGTCCCTGGCCCTGTTCCAGGGCAGTGGTTACCTGCCCCAGCGTCAGACCAGGTCAGGCAGCTATTGGAAAACGTTCGAGGGTGGTGTTAATAAACAACCCAAGCATTATTGTTTTGCCTGTATCAAAGTTTGGGATGATGTTTTCCTTAACGATTTAACATCAAAATTAATTTTTTTTATCACAATGTGTGCATTATGGCCTTATTAATATGATAAGGTTAGGGGTAATGTTACCTACAAAACAAACTACAAAGGCTAGAAGCAGTTGTAAAATAAACATTTGTACACAAGAAAATTAAGCTGTGGCATGGGTACTGTAAAACTTAGAATTGGCATAATTAGCTTAATAAAGAGCAAATGGTGGGAGGAGACACATCTACCACACTCACTTTCATAAAGATGGAGGTCTGCCCCGGAATAGAGTCGGTTACAGAAGACAAAAAAATACACAAACTTCTTTGTGCTAAGCCACTGAAATTTGGAGTTATTTGTTGCAGCAGCTAATGTTATCCTAACTAGTGCAAATTAACAAGAAATGTCCAAGATTCACATGAAGAAACTTTAAAAGTGTTTAGAAGAATGTATGAAATCTGAATAAATGGATACCATATTTATGGATGAGACATCTGATTACAGCCAAGATGTAACTTCCACCTAAATGTCTCTAATTTTAACATACTACTTTAAAATATATACAACTTTATCTGTAAAATCACACTAAGAAGATTAAAAAAATAACATTTTGAAAGAGAATAATACAGGGTAGGGACTTCCTCTATCAGACATCAGATACCAAAGCTTTATTGTAAGATTATGATTAAATCAGAAGTGGCCGTGTCATTTAAATAGCAAACAGGTCAGTGAAAACAGAACAAATCCATCAGAAACAGACCCATGTACTTAGGAAAATTTTGCATCTGACTAAGTTGGCATTCAAATCAGGAAAGAAAGGACAAATAGAAAAATGTCGTTGAGACAATTAGCCACCCATTTTGAAAAATATAATGCTAGATGATTTCAACCTCACACGTTTTTCAAAAATAAATGACAATAACCAAACAAACTACGAAGAGTTGTAGGAAAATCTGCTTATATCCTTGGAGTTAGAGAAAATCATAAGACAAAAATTAAACCTATCAAGTCACAAACTTGATAACATTAAAATAACCTATCATGTATGCCAAGACACCATAAACAAAGGAGAAACACTGCTACATATACAGTAGGCAAATAATTATTATCAAGAATATATAAAAAAACCTCCTACAAATTTATAGGAAAACTAGAGGCCCAGTGCACAAAAATTTGTGCACTTGGGGAGAGGGGGTCCCTCAGCCTGGCCTGTGCCCTCTTGCAGTCTGGGACCCCTTAGGGATGACCACCTGCTGGCTTAGGCCTGCTCCCTGGGGGCTTG